TAAAATGTATTTCTATAAATTTATTTATTTATTTATTTCCCGTATTTGTATCCCATCACTTCTCAACCTCCGAAGGGGGACTCAGGACAGCTTTCAATGTGCCCCGTTACGAGGCCGCTACATGACAATTACTATAATAAAATCACAATTGGACACAAATCATAGTTAAAACAATACATAAGCAATCATTAAAACAGTCTTGTCAGCCATATTGTCGTTCCAGTCATGTTCCTCTAAAGTGCTGCTACATCTATTGTCCGAAAGCCCAGTCCCAAAACGATGCCTTTCATTTCTTTTGGAAAGCCAGGAGGGAGGGAGCCTACATTCTGAGCACCACAATTCAAGAGAGATGTTGACAAGCTGGAATGAGTCCAGAGGAGGGCGACTAAAATGATCAAGGGTCTGGAGAACAAGCCCTATGAGGAGCAGCTTAAGGAGCTGGGCATGTTTAGCCTGAAGAAGAGAAGGCTGAGAGGAGATATGATAGTCATGTATAAATATGTGAGAGGAAACCACAGGGAGGAGGGAGCAAGCTTGTTTTCTACTTCCTTGGAGACTAGGATGTGGAACAATGGCTTCAAATTACAAGAGAGGAGATTCCATCTGAACATGAGGAAGAACTTCCTGACTGTGAGAGCCGTTCAGCAGTGGAACTCTCTGCCCCCGAGTGTGGTGGAGGCTCCTTCTTTGGAAGCTTTTAAACAGAGGCTGGATGGCTATCTGTCGAGGGTGATTTGAATGCAATATTCCTGCTTCTTGGCAGGGGGTTGGACTGGATGGCGCATGAGGTCTCTTTCAACTCTTTGATTCTTTGATTCTTTGATACATACATATTAAAACAGATTTCTATAAAATACATAATATGGTTGAGGCACGGTAAAAAAGAGCCCTGAACATAAAAAAGAATTATTTCCAAATATAATAAATTGAAAGAAAACAAAAGCAGGAAAACAAAATAATGATAATAATGTAAGGATGATAAAATTGTGCCGCACATTACTTAATATTACAAAAACTGTTATACTGTGAATTTATCACACAACTTTTGGCATTTGAATTCGTATTCTGTACTATAGAATGTAGCTAGAGTGAAAACCATGCATATGTAAATTATTCAGGCTAATTAAGATGGTTTTAAATCCCCTAAATGAGCAAATGAAATTTGGGCATATATTGTTAGCATGATCTTGGGTCTTCATGAAATACTTTTGAGTTACACTTCTATCAAAAGGGTTTGTGAAATGAAATTAATCTTTCCTGAAGTGTTTACTATAATTTACAGACTGTGTATATTTCATTAAGATGTTATAATCACTCCAACCAGAGGTTCACTTGTTCCCATTGTGTTCTGCTTTAGGTCAAGCGCTTGATCAATATAGAGGCACGTGTTTGAAATAAACCCAACCTTTCTTATTAAATTCAGAATATTATACATACAGTGGCCATCGTGTATGCTTGTCAACCTTTGCATTGCCAATCTCTAGGAAATCTGTCATCATCCTGAGCAGCTTTTAACTGGACCAAATTGATCTGACAAGATAGTGTCTCAGAAATAGTGCTCTGAATGCGATTTTCCTGCTTCTTGGCAGGGGGTTGGACTGGATGGCCCACTGTATGATTCTATGAGATAAGGAAATGTTCCTCCTCGTAGAAGCATATCCTGGCAAGAGAAAATTGTTCTTTGTGCTGCTGGTGATAAGGTGAAATAGGCTTTCCCAAATGTAAACCCAAGATATTTCCACTGATGAAGTCAGATCTGGCCACAGTGGTCCACGCTCTTGTTACATCCCGAATAGATTACTGCAACGCACTCTACGTGGGGTTGCCTTTGAAGACTGTTCGGAAACTTCAATTAGTCCAGTGGGAGGCAGCCAGATTACTCACCGGAGCGTCATACAGGGAGCATACCACCCCCCTGCTATGTCAGCTCCACTGGCTGCCGATCCAGTTCCGAGCACAATTCAAAGTGCTGGTTTTAACCTACAAAACCCTATACGGTTCCGGCCCAGCGTATCTGTCCGAATGTATCTCCCTCTACGTCCCATCTCGGAGTTTGAGATCATCTGGGGAGGCCCTGCTCTCGCCGCCTCTATCACAAGTGAGACTGGTGGGGACGAGGAGCAGGGCCTTCTTGGTGGTGGCCCCTCGCCTGTGGAATTCACTCCCCGGGGAAATTAGGTCATCGACATCCCTCCTCTCTTTCAGAAGGAAACTAAAAACATGGATATGGATCAGGCCTTTGGGTAATCTGGCAGATAGACAAAGGACAATGACGACTAGAATTGATAGGATTTTACAATGTGGAATGAATTTACGGATTCTGAGTTGGCAAACGTTGAGCATTAGACTGGTTTTATTGATTGTGATGTATAATTGATGGTTTTATTTGTTTTATAATTGCTGTTGATATATGTTTTTATCTTATTGTTTGTGTTGGCATCGAATTGTGCCTTTTTGTAAGCCGCCCTGAGTCCCCCCTCGGGGGTTGAGAAGGGCGGGGTAGAAATGCGCTAAATAAATAAATAAATAAATAAAATTAGAAACAGATGATATATGTAGCACTTCATATACATGTGGAAAACAAAACTCACGTATGTTTATGTTCCTTTTAAATATGGTTGGAAATCCTTTGGGCCCTTAAATTTTGTTGGCCTTCACTGGCCCTAGTCTAACATGGCTTGTGGTGTGCAGTTTTGGGAATTATTAACTGCTTAAAATTTTTAAAAAGTAAAAAAAAAATTAACAAGACCCTTAGGCTTTACTAGAAAGGATGGGAAATAAAGGGAATACAAATATTACTGTGTGATTCTGATTTATAACCTACATGCAATTGCTAATCTCAACCAGAATAGATCTATTAAATCAAAGGGAGTTTTGCAAGTCAACATATATGTGAATTCCATTCATTTAGAGCAGTATTTCTCAACCTGGGGGTCGGGACCCCTTTGGGGGTCACGAGGGGGGTGTCAGAGGGGTCGCCAAAGACCATCAGAAAACACAGTATTTTCTGTTGTGTGAGAAGTTTGGCCCAATTCTATTGTTGATGGAGTTCAGAATGCTCTTTGATTGTAGGTGAACTATAAATCCTAGCAACTACAACTCCCAAACATCGAGGTCTATTTTCCCCAAACTCCACAAGTCTGGAGAACCAATATGATAATGAGAATATTGAACTATATTTGTTTTTGCTGGGGGGAGGGGGAGGCTTTAAAGATGCAATACAATTATTATTCACACAAAAACAGCCAAAATGATTCTCTTCAAATATTTCAATCGTTTGTTTTCTGAATAACCCCATGTGAACCCACAAGTGTTCAGATTTGGGCATATTGAGTATCCATGCCAAGTTTGGTCCGGATCCATCATTGTTTGAGTAGTCAGTGCTCTCTGGATGTAGAACTACAACCCTCAAATTCAAAGTCAATGCCCACCAGACCCTTCCAGTATTTTCTGTTGATCATAGGAGTTCTGTGTGCCAAGTTTGGTTCAATTCCATCATTGGTGGAGTTCAGAATGCTCTTTGATTGTAAGAGAACTATAGACCCCAGCAAATACAACTCCCAAATGACAAAATCAACCCCCCCCCCAAACCCCACCAGTATTCAAATTTGGGCATATCAGGTATTTGTGTCAAATCTGGTCCAGTGAATGGAAATATATCCCATATATCAGATATTGATGATTTGTAACAGTATCAAGGTATCGCGGCATTAGGAAGGTTGAGAAACACTGATTTAGAGGGTCTAGTTGGCCCTAGAAATTGGATTTATGCTTATAACTGCAGTTTACATACATTTGCTTATACAGACAGTTTAAACTTCACTGAGACTCCGACAAGTCTACATCATGGAGCCATTCTGCACACCAAACTATACCTATATAGAGACACTTCTGAGAAGTAATATGTGCATACTTGCACCACAGGTACAATACAGAAGTCAGAAACTCAATCCAAGAAGCAGCTGTCTGATCAGCATGCGCCCAGCAGATAGAATATTGCTGCTATCTCACTTGCAATACAGAGAGAGATTGCTTCTTCCAGGCAACCAATTGTTTATGAAGCTGCACTTAGTTTTAACATATTATTATTATTATTATTATTATTATTATTATTATTGTTATTTCGGTCGTTTCTACCCCGCCCTTCTCACCCCCTAGGGGGGACTCAGGGCGGCTTACATCCGGCACAATTCGATGCCAACAGTTATAATAAAATTCAATAGCAATAACACAATAGATTAAAAACAAACAATTAATACAGTACAATACAATACAATACAATATCAACTAAAACCGCTCTATAGCCCGCGTTCATCGAGTTCTAAAATCCGTCAATCCATTTAGCATTGCCATAGTCATCATTACCTTGTTAATCTGCCAGATTACCCAAATGCCTGGTCCCATATCCATGTCTTCAGCTTTCTTCTGAAGGAGAGGAGGGATGTTGACGGCCTGATTTCCCCAGGGAGTGAATTCCACAGGCGAGGGGCCACCACTGAGAAGGCCCCGTCCCTCGTCCCCACCAGCCTCACTTGTGATAAAGGTGGGGCCAAGAGCAGGGCCTCCCCAGAAGATCTTAAACTCCGTGGTGGGACATAGAAGGAGATACGTTCGGACAAGTACACTGGGCCAGTGCTGTATAGAGTTTTAAAGGTCAAAACCAGCACGTATCATGATTTACCATGTTTACCATTTAACCCAGGCCTGCGCAACCTGCGTTCCTCCAGCCATTTTTACCTCCAACTCCCAAATCCTGGCCATTGTACAAGCTGGCTAGGGCTTCTGTGAGATGGAGGCCAAAACAGCTGGAGGACCACAGATTGTGCAGGCTCAATTTAGCCTATGCTCTCCAGCCTTCATACTTTAAAAAATGATGTTGGTTACAGACAGCAGGAAAAGATGGTAAGAATCTACCCCTATTAAAAATTATGCCAAAAAATTATTTCAATAATAGGAAACTATCATTTCTCTAACCTTTTGTTTTTGTTTTGGATGGGTAGCATCAACATCTGGAGCAATGGGTCTAGGTGGGACTACGACAAGCACCACAGCACGCATTATTACCAGCAGTACTACACACATGACCACCACACCAGCTTTGAGCAGAAGGAACAGGAGCACAATTACACCTTCTCCAGCTCTGGATGTCCCCAATGAACTGATCACATACCTACCACCTGCATCTTCTCAGCTGCCTGCAATAGGAGCAGAGAGCTGTGAGACCATGGAAGCCCGTGAGATCATGTGGTTTAAGACTCGACAAGGACAGGTAGCTAAGCAGCCATGCCCCAGAGGAACCGTAGGTGAGTCTGTGGAATAACACCATTTGCTCTGTTGATGTTGTTTAAAATATTGAACAGATTACAGATTGTTTCATTCCTGTAGGTTATCTGCATATATTCCAGACTTTTTAAAATTGTGTTGAAATTTTTGGAGATCGTAATGCTAACAAATATACTGGCAGCTGTAATTTTAAAAGAAAATGTATTTATTGGTAATGACGTATCCCACAGAGGTGCTGGACCCATGCAGAATGATGGGATTTGATGGGACTGGATGGACTGGATGGCCCATGAGGTCTCTTCCAACTCTTTGATTCTACGATTCTATGATTTGAGGGATTTCTGGATATATTGTTGGCATTGCTCGTTCTTTGGAAGAAGCTGTGGTCTCATTATGTGGCAGTGAGCTGGAGAGGGCTGTAGAAAGGATCACTTGCATGTGCGCCCACCTTCAAAGCAGGTCTCAGCAAAATCCGAGGGAGCCCATGCTATGAGTCACACAAGGCAGTTGCTGGGATGCAACTACTTTTGCTCAGTTCTGATATTGAAGCATTTTATCTGCAAGTAACCTTTCAGTGAAGATGATGAAGGGTTTTCAGTGAAGGGATGAAGGGTTAGAAGGCAGGATCATCAAGTTTGCAGACGACACCAAATTGGGAGGGAGAGCCAATACTCCAGAGGACAGGAGCAGGATTCACAACGATCTTGACAGATTAGAGAGATGATGGGCCAAAACTAACAAAATGAAGTTCAACAGGGACAAATGCAAGATACTCCACTTAGGCAGAAAAAACGAAATGCAAAGATACAGAATGGGGGACAATGCCTGGCTTGAGAGCAGTATGCGTGAAAAAGATCTTGGAGTCCTCGTGGACAACAAGTTAAACATGAGCCAACAATGTGATGTGGCCAAAAAAAGCCAATGGGATTTTGGCCTGCATCAATAGGAGCATAGTGTCTAGATCTAGGGAAGTAATGCTACCCCTCTATTCTGCTTTGGTTAGACCACACCTGGAATATTGTGTCCAATTCTGGGCACCACATTTCAAGAGAGATATTGACAAGCTGGAATGTGTCCAGAGGAGGGCAACTAAAATGATCAAGGGTCTGGAGAACAAGCCCTATGAGGAGCGGCTTAAGGAGCTGGGCATGTTTAGCCTGAAGAAGAGAAGGCTGAGAGGAGATATGATAGCCATGTATAAATATGTGAGAGGAAGCCACAGGGAGGAGGGAGCAAGCTTGTTTTCTGCTTCCCTGGAGACTAGGACGCGAAACAATGGCTTCAAACTACAAGAAAGGAGATTCCATCTGAACATGAGGAAGAACTTCCTGACTGTGAGAGCCGTTCAGCAGTGGAACTCTCTGCCCCGGCTGGATGGCCATCTGTCAGGGGTGAATTGAATGAAATATTCCTGCTTCTTTGCAGGGGTTGGACTGGATGGCCCATGAATCATAGAATCATAGAATCAAAGAGTTGGAAGAGACCTCATGGGCCATCCAGTCCAACCCCCTGCCAAGAAGCAGGAATATTGCATTCTCTTCCAACTCTTTGATTCTATGATTCCATGAAAGGGAGTGACTTGATTAGTCACCTGAATCCTTTCCCATCTTCATTGTTCAATAAAAAAGTTGAGGTGACTGACTAGGTGGTTTGCAAACATGGGAGGTGTCAAACACCTGGAAGACATTGCCTCTTCATCACTAGTCCTATTTAGATTTTAAAGACTATAGTAATTCACCATTATTTACTTTTGGATATTTTTGGATATTTTTTGTAATGTTATTGGTGACCTGAGGTTCTTGTGGGGGAAAAAATCAGATTTTTGTGCCGTTTTTAGTTCAGGTTTCAGGTTATGTTTGGCAGTGGTACAGCCAAGGGACTCATCTATACCGGGAAGTTTATCTCAGTGTAAATCTGCCTCAGATCAGACTTGGATTCAGCATGCCCATGCTGAATTTGTGGCCATTGTCTAGATAGCCTGGAGTCACATCCATTCCGCTGGACCATCACTGACTCTGTGTTGCTGCTGCCACCACTCCTATCCAGCCACAAAGCTCCATCTGAGTTTCTGGCTAATGCAGACACCTGAGCCTGACATCAACAGAGGCGCCTGGGGTGGCTGCAGCTCAGAAAGACCTGTGAGGCTGGCCAGAAGTGGTGGTGATGCTGATGACATGGGCACAGTCCAGCCCCTTTCCTCTTTCTGATCAGCGTGATGGCAGCAGTGTCCATCTGGACAGTGACTCAGATCCAGCCTGGCTGTCCATACTGCCTCAAAGCCCTAGAATACTCCAGAATATCCCCCAACTTTGCCAAAGGTAGGGCAAAGTTGGTTTGAAGCAAACCCCCCACCCCAATATTCACTTGATGCCGCTGTGCATTGTGGGGATATTGTGGTCTATTCGTAGTGATTAAAGGATTTGGAACGAGTATAAACAATCTCTTGGTGATCCTGATGATGATCTCTGTCTGGAGAAGGATAGGAGGGAATGCAACCCTTCTAATTCTTTTTTCATGAGCAGCTTTTGATAACACTGTGTGGTGCATTTTATTAGCTCGGTAAGATGTAAATAATCCTCTGAAAATAATGGCTCATTAGCACTTAATGATTTCTGTTTCTCTATGGCATTTATGGGATTCTGAGAAGATATGGCTTACCTTCCATGCTCTTCCGTAAAGTGTATTGGTGAACATATAAGTTATATAAGGCGATTGTGCAATTGGACAAATACCAGTACCTGGGTTGTTGTAGGTTTTTTCGGGCTATATGGCCATGTTCTAGAGCAGGGGTCTTCACACCTTTTGAACAGAGGGCCAGGTCACAGTCCCTCAAACTGTTGGAGGGCCAGATTATAATTTGAAAAAAATGAATAACTTTCTATGCACACTGCACATTTGTAGTGCAAAAAACACTTTAAAACAATACAATAATTAAAATGAAGAACAATTTTAACAAATATAAATTTATTAGTATTTCAGTGGGAAGTATGAGCCTGCTTTTGGCTGTTGAGATAGGATTGTTGTTGTTGTTGTCGTTGTGTGCTTTCAAGTCGTTTCAGACTTAGCTTGACCCTGAGCGAGAGCCGGGTAAATTACCTTGGAGGGCTGCATTCGGCCCTCGGGCCTTAGTTTGAGGTCTAGGCATTCCAGCCACGGATGAGAGAAAAAGAAGGAAAAGTAAAGCAAGTTGGTAAAATGCTTCCTCACTTGTACTCTTTATATTGTACATCTGAATCAGAGTACAATGTTTTGCAGACACGTTAGACTATGTTTTACTTGGTTTGGTGATGATGATAAAATGATTGTATTTTTAATAAAAGAGAGGAAATGACTTTGTCCTATTACAGAGCTATTTATATGCATTGTGCATAATATAATTGATGTTTTGTTCTATTAGTTCTTATTTATGAATTATTATCAAATGTTGATAAAAGGTTTTCCTATAGATATTCTTTTTAGGTTTCTTATAGAAAATCAGTGTATCAAAAGTTTTATCATGTGAATTTTTTGAAAGTGAAAAACAGAAAGAATTGTCTTTTTATTTCTATAGTGCTGTAGGGGATATGTGTTAGGAATAATGGTTTCAACACTTGAAAAGCTGTGAATATAAAAGGAGACCAACAGTGCATTTTTCACATTTCAGGACTTCATTGGGGATAATTTGTTTCCACAAAAATACATGGTGTTCCTGTTTGAGAAAAATGTTTTTTTCCCACAGAAAACAAAAACCAGGAAACTTTCTGTTCAAAAATCAATTTATTGCACAAATACCTATGCAAGAAAATCATATATAGGTTTCTTGTAAATGTTTTATGGGAAAAATGTAAAAAATATATATACTTTGCTCTGAAACATGACTTTCAAATACGAAAACCATAGATATTTTTGTGCAAATGAATTTACCCTAACAAAATATTGAAAGCATGAATGTTTCTGAAAAATTGTTAATTCCTGCAGAATTTAGAGAATTGCAGAAGCTATTCCTTTTTTGCATGTGGAAACAAATGAAACAAAGATTTACCCATGTTTCAAGGAAAGTTCACATCTTGTCTGTTGGGTTATCTGTGCTATAGACCTGTGATTTGCTGTGCTATTCACATATAATATTTCCAATACAGGAATTAAGCCTTACATTGGGCAAAATAACATATGACTTATACCTAAGTGATACACCTGACCTATCCATATTGGGGTGAATGGGTGGGCAAGTAAATGGTGCCATGACTCACATTGTCTCTGTTCTTGTAGGTGTTTCAACATTTCTCTGCCTTGCTCCTGGTGGTGTGTGGGATCCCCAAGGGCCGGACTTGAGCAACTGTTCCTCACTTTGGGTCAATCATATTACACAGAAGGTAGGTTTAAAAAAAAAACATTATATAATAAAAAAAACTAAGTAGTCAAGGAATATCTGGCTATTAAAGTCTCCCAATCCAGATGAACTACATCCAGGAGTACTGAAGGAATTAGCAGAAGTTATTTCAGAATCACTGGCAATCATCTTTGATAATTCCACGAATAGGAGAAGTCCCAGCAGACTGGGCGAGGACAAATGTCCCTATTGTCAAGAAGGGAAATTGACCCAAATAATTACTGTCCAGTCAGCCTGACATCAATACCAGGAAAGATTCTGGAGCAGATCATTAGGGAGGCAGTCTGTAATCACATAATCATAATAATAACAATATGAGGGGTATTTTTAAAGTAAGGTCCATTTGAACATAATTACACAACGAAAGCTTATTTTAAAAAAGTAAATTTGTTTTCAGAAAGTTCATACTTCACTTTATTTTTTGACATAGTTGCCAAGTTTGTTCAAACACTTATCATACCTCTGAACCAATTTTAAAATACCCTCTTCATAAAAACTTGCCGCCACCAAAAGCCACCAAATCATCTGTAATCAAAGAAGGGCGACCGGAGCGGTCCTCATCATGGACGTTGTCACGGCCATCTTTGAATTGTCGTACCCACTTACGCACTTTGTTTTCACTCATAACAGTATCACTGTACACTTCACAAATCTGTCAATGAATTTCTGCAGCAGGCAGGTTCCTTGCTGACAAAAACCGTATCACTGAGCGAACCTCACATGCGGAGGGTGAGTTGATAGTATTAAACATTTTAAAAGTACAGAACAGAACCGTACAGGTTAGCTACAGAGTGGAAACTGAGCACAGTTGTTCCCGAGGCATGTCGGTACATGACGCACACGCTCGTTGCGGTTTGCGCGCAAACTACTAGTGTCTACAACAAAAACTTACTTAAAAAATACCCCTCGTAATAATAATAACAACAACAATAACAATTTTCGAAAATACATCACACAGTCCTAGACGCATGGGAAGTGTTTGACTTGTGATTTTTTGAAACGAAATCCAGCATATAGATCTCGTTTGCTGTGACATTCTGTGCTTTTGTGTCAGAAATGTAATAATAATAATAGTAGTAATAATAATAATAATAATAATAATGTATTTATCGCTTGCTTCTCCTCATGCTCGAGGCAAATTACAACATTGTAAAACACACATTCACCTAAAAATGTATTTTCACAAAATACATATCAAAATACACAAAACAGAAATCTATATAAATAAAAATGTAATGTTCGTTTGTGGGATTAACATAACTCACAAACCACTGGACGAATTGACACCAAATTGGGACACAATACACCTATCAGGCCAGTGAGTGACCATCACTCATAAAAACACTGAAAAACACAGCAGAAGAGACTTAAAAAACAAAAAATAGATTACAACACATGCGCAAAACCACATATATATACACAAAAACATATATAAATATATATATACACACATACATACACAAAGCACATATACATAGACTGAGGCTACAGCAACGCATGGCAGGGGACGGCTAGTTAAACATAAAATAAATGATGTCATTGTATTATTTTCCTAGCAAAAGATACTCAAAAGAAATTTACCATGCCTCTTTCTGCACAGTACTAATAAGCATTTACTATTGTGCCACTACTGTTGTTTCTGAGCGATCTTCCAGTAGTTACACCCTCCTCCACTACTGCTGCTGCTGCCCAATAGCAGTTTGTCACATTTAATCTGACTCCTCAGCAAAAGCCTATCTGACATGAGTGACCCTGTTAGAAGCGCTGCTACCACCACCATAGCCTTTGCCTCACAGGAATACACCATCCCTCCATTGGGGAATAACTGTAGATCCTGTGACAACAGAGGCAATAACAGAGAATGGCATCTCTGTCAGGATGTAATCTTCCCCTCATGTCTGAGTACCATTCTGACAAATGAAGTCACTTCCCCAGGTGTCTCCCCCCCCCCATCCAATAAGCATTCCTTTATAAATGGTCTTACGTCGCCATAAATTACCTCACCTTACCTTACAATAAATTCCAATCTTATCATACATGTTCATACTTGGAAAAGGATGCTGTAATCACTAAAAGTCAACATGGATTTCTCAAAAACAAATCACGCCAGACTATTCTTATCTCTTTTTTCAATAGAGTTACAAGCTTGGTCGATGCAGGGAATGCTGTGGATGTAGCATATCTTGATTTCAGTAAGGCCTTGAACAAGGTCCCCCATTATCTTCTTGCAAACAAACTAGTGAAATGTGGGCTGGACAATACTATTATTTGGTAGAGTTGTAATTACTTAAATGACTGAACCCAAATGGGTCCTCTAAATCCTGGAAAGAAGTGACTAGTGGAGTGCCACAGGGCTCAGTCCTGGTCCTAGTGCTGTTCAATATCTTTATTAATGACTTGGATTAAGGTTTAGAGGGCATGCTTATCAAGTTTGCAGATGACACCAAATTGGGAGCAATAGCTAATACTCCAGAGGACAGGATCAGAATTCAAAATGGCCTTAACAGATAGGAGAGCTGGGCCAAAACTAACAAAATGAATTTCAACAGGAAGAAATGTAAGATAGTACACTTAGGCAGAAAAATATGAAATGCAAAGATACAGGATGGGTGACTCCTGGCTTGGCAATAGTACATATGAGTCTAAATGGACAATAAGTTGAACATGAGTCAACAAAGTGATGTAGCAGCTAAAAAAATGGGCTGCATCAAAAGGGTACATTGTCTATATCAAGGGAAGTAATGGTGTCCCTCTACTCTGCTTTGATCAGACCTCACCTAGAATACTGTGGCCAATTCTGGGCACCACAATTTAAGAGAGATATTGACAAGCTGGAACATGTCCAGAGGAGGGCATCTAAAATTATCAAAGGTCTGGAGACCATGCCCTATGAGGAAGTGACTTAAAGGACTGAACATGCTTAGCCTGCAGAAGAGAAGGTTGAGAGGAGACATGTATAAATATTTGGAAGGCTGTCATAAGGAAGGGGGAAGAGACTTGTTTTCTGCTGCCCTTGAGAGTTGAAGTTGGAGCAATGGATTTAATGACAGGGGGAAAAAAGATTCTGCTTGAACATTACCAAGACCTTCCATACTGTGAGAGCTGTTCAACAGTGGAACTCTCAGAGTGTAGTGGAAGCTCCTTCTTTGGAGCCTTTTAAACAGAGGCTGGATGGCCATCTGTCTGGGGTGCTTTGAATGCAATATTCCTGCTTCTTGGCAGGGGGTTGGACTGGATGGCCCATCAGGTCTCTTCCAACTCTTTGACTTGTGCCCAGAACAGGTTGGTAGCCAGTGAAGCAACAGAAGAGTTAAATTTTTAATATCCTATCTATTTAATGTGTACATTAAGAAGAATTAGACCTGGAAGAAGGAAACATGAAAACTGGAGAAATTAGCATTAACAATTTGAGAGGAGGGCGACTAAAATGATCAAGGGTCTGGAGAACATACCCTATGAGGAGTGGCTTAAGGAGCTGGGCATGTTTAGTCTGAAGAAGAGAAGGCTGAGAGGAGATATGATAGCCATGTATAAATATGTAAGAGGAATCCACAAGAGGAGGGAGCAAGCTTGTTTTCTGCTTCCCTGGAGACTAGGACGCAATGGAACAATGGCTTCAAACTACAAGAGAGGAGATTCCATCTGAACATGAAGAAGAACTTCCTGACTGTGAGAGCCGTTCAGCAGTGGAACTCTCTGCCCCGGAGTGTGGTGGAGGCTCCTTCTTTGGAAGCTTTTAAACAGAGGCGGAATGGCTATCTGTCAGGGGTACTTTGAATGCAATATTCCTGCTTCTTGGCAGGGGGTTGGACTGGATGGCCCATGAGGTCTCTTCCAACTCTTTGATTCTATGATTCTATATATAGATGATACCATGTCAAATATTTGGAATGATTATTGAAGAAAATCAGGGAAGAACATGCAAAGAGCAGATTTATAGTTGAACATTAAGAAAACAAAAATAATTACCATAGGTGATTTATACAACTTTAAATTAGATGTTGAAGGAATTGAAATAATTAAAGAATTTCCATATTTTGACTCAGGGCCCATCTACATGTTCCCCCACTTTGCCTGCTGGGAGGTGTCAGCACTATTTAGCATTAAGTTGTCCCTATAGCTAGGCAGGTGTTGTGGCAAATGGCCTTGTGTGCCATGTGGATCCCACAGAGTCCATTACCTCTGCCCTGACTCATTTGGGCCATGCAAATGAACCCTCAGTTATAAATCACAATAGGTAATTATTTTTCGTTTATTGGGCTCATGAATTGAAAATAACTTTGTTTTTCATGCTAATTAATCCAAATCCATTTTTGTTATTTTGTGGTAAAAAAGTATTTCCTGCAAGGATCATTACTTGAAATGTCATATATTTTTCATTTCAAACAGGGTGTTGTACTTCTAAAACTCTCCTGTTTTGAGGGTACATCATTAATACACATTATGCTTGTGTACAGAATGGCTGTAAAGCACAAGCTGACTCAAATACTTTGATCAAGACTGCAGCCCAGCCAACCCAGCCATAGTCAATGTTTTTATTTCTACTAAACCATCAGCTGTATTTTCCTTAATAACAGTCTGTGCCTTCTGATATAAGAGCACATTGGTTATACTGTGTTTATGGTCCTTTTTAAGTTAATTGAAAAATAGCAAAAGATACCACTAGAAGATGCCAATGTTTCCCAAGAGATGAGGGGGTAACATCCTATATATTTGGATTGCTCCTCCCACTTGCTCCTATCGGCAGGAATTTATGAAAAAACTAGCCATCTCCTGCCACTTGTTGCTGTGGCCCAGTCTGTGTATATGTGTTTTGTGTGTGCATGTATTTGTGTATATGTGTATTTGCATATGTGTGTGTGTATGTATGGTTTTGTGCCTGCATTGTAATGTATTTTTTTATTTCTTGGCTTTTTAGGTCTCTTCTGCTGTGTTTTTCTGTGTTTTTATGAGTCACGGTCACTCGTTGGCCTAATAGGTGTC